GCGGATCCTTCTCTTTTTGTTGGGATCCGAATAACTTTCCTTATTTTCTGCAATTCCTTCCATTCTACCCCAATAACGACTCATCTTCCAACTTACTTCTGAGCTAGGAAAACCTAAATTATTGACATGACGGGAAGCTAATGTATTCACAACTATCATACACAATCTTAATAATCTAACTCTGCTTACACTGCCAATCTTGGAGAAACCACATTTCGATAATTCCTAAAAGCTATTCTTCTACTGCTTGCTCTTTTACTACTAGCTATATTTTTTTTCCGCTATCACTGTACTTCGGGTTTATCTTAAAATCTTTGGGTTCTAACACATGTTCGGTATTTCAAACTATCATCCACTCACTAGAGTTAACCCGGCTAAGTGAATCAAATCTTACCTCTACTAGCTCTGCTGAAATTGCTAATTCACTGTGTTTACTCAAACTTATTTACTATTCTCTTACTAACCCCTTGCTAGCATCATGTTTTCTTGCTCTGCTTTGAATAACTAAAGTGGAGCATAAGGTTACTCCAAACTTCCCTCACCATCCGATCATATTCTTTTGCCGCACACTATCATTCTTTTTGAACCATGCACATGAATCGCACTTAGGGAAAGTTCTTTTGTCTTAACAAAAGTGGAATATCTAACCCCAAGCTTTCTATACACTTCAAAATCACTTCAGACTATAAACCTCCAACCTAAACACATAGTCGTATCAAGGGGAACTGTCATATCTTTTATCGTACATCATATTTCTTAGCTACATTTCCCTTAGGCTCTTTTCTGTCCAAAACTATAGTGATCAATCCTATGCCCGCTGCAGTTGAATTCTTAACCTGATACACCGTGGGGTCTGACATACGGATACACTTCCATACATATCTGATAAATCACTTTATGCACCATCCAATGAGTCTTGGGTCTTAATCCCTAAAACATGCGAAGATTTTGCTATAATCACTGTTACTTACATACTCTCTGACTATCCATATACATCACTGTATACTCACAAGTCTATAAAAATTTTAATACACTGAAAATTGGAGATCTGGTGAATTTATAACCGAATACTGGCGTAACCATAAACTTGCTAACTGAAAGATTGTATAACTGGTAACTGAGGTAAACTAATAACCATAAGACATCATAACTGCTTTTGTACTTTCTGATAAGGTTATGCTCTAATGTATGCTAGTATCCATTGCATCCCACTTTTCACATCCTCTCAAGTCTCATATTTACCAAGCTGTACTCCATAATTATACCCCAATGGGCAATTATCCTCTCTAGGACCTAAGGTTTCTCATACGCGTCGCTTGAGCATCCAATACGTTTGGAATTCGATAGGAAAAGAAGATTACTTGTTGCTCTAAGTTTCATGGCACGATCTAGAGTAGAAAGAGGTGAGACAATCCTGAATGTCTTGGTAGTTAACCATTTATATGAGTGGCCGGCACACACATATAAAGGAAACTCCACCAGATACGGCTTCATAGACTCCCTAGGACTCTCGAACCTAGTGCTCTGATACCAAGCTTTGTCACGCCCCGAACCTGGGCCTGGACGTAACACGACACTCGGTGCTTGACTACATGTGACCGAGCGAACCAACTGGCTGGCTGAATCAACATGTGGTATCATAACATACTGAATGCGGAAAATAAACTAACACATGCTGATATACTGAAAGTCTGGATGATATAAATCAAAGTGCGGAAATACTAATACAATTTTAATAATATTTGTAGCCAACATAGCTTAACATGGAAAGCATGTGACTCTGTCTAACTGTTACTCTAGTCTATGAAGCCTCTAGTAAAGTACTGAAAACACTGACTGCCTCTACATACTGAAAGACCGTAAAGTAATGATAAAGCCCCGAAAGAACTGGGGATCACCAAACAGCTGGTACGGGAATCCTAGCGCTCTGAATCTTCAACCTGTAAATCATTACCTGCAGGCCCTGATGTACTGGTATGTAAAGCAACTGAAAGAAAGAATTATAACTGCTGAAACTGAAACTAAGCTGATAACCGAGAATTTATAATTGAGAACTGAAATGATAACTATTCAAACTGAAACTGAAATGATAAATGATAACTAATAACTAATAACTAATAACTGATGACTGATGACTGAACTGATAACTGGTAATTGAACTGATAACTGATAACTGAACTGATAACTAAAAGATAACTGATAACTAATAACTGAACAGAATAAACGAAGTAAGGATATAGAATACTACCTCTTCTGAATGATGAACAACCTGTTTATCTGAATATTAAACTGCGGTCTCAGGCCCAATATATATATATATATATATATGTGTGTGTGTGTGTGTGTGTGTGTGTGTGTGTGTATGTGTGTGTGTGTGCACAAGCTGCGGCCTCGGGCCCAAGTATACGTATACATAACTGCGACCTCAGGTCCAAAATGAATAAAGCATAAACTGCAGCCTCAGGCCCAAAGATGCATAAAGCATTAGCTGCAGCCTCAGGCCCAAAGATGCATAAAGCATTAGCTGCGGCCTCAGGCCCAAATATAGGTGTTCAACATTCAGGGATTTAAATTCAGGAACTGAGAATCATACTGCACTACATAATAGTGAAATACTGAATCAGGCTGAGTTATATGATACTGGAATACTGGATCACACTAAGTTACATTATACTGGAATACTGAATCATACTGAGTTACATAATACTGGAATACTGAATTCTACTGAGTTACATAATACTGGAATACTGAATAGGACTGGAATGAGACATGTATTCTTGAACTGGTTATGAACACTGAAACTGCAACTGTTTATGACATGCTGAGTAAGCTATACTGAGACTTCGAGGAATCAAACCCAAGTCTATATTGAATACGAACTGAGCTCACAACGTTCAGAATGAAAGTCATGAACGAGTTATGAAGCTAGGGAATAGAAGTTCTACAACTATTAATGAACTAGGCTTAACTGTATTTCTGAGGCAATTGATACGTTGTAAAAGAAACGTAGGTAGGAAGAATAATTAAAATTCCCAAACATAGAGAGTTAGACTCACATACCTTAACTTCCTGCTCTTGAGCATAATACAACGTTTGTCTACCCCTTTCAACTTTAATCTAAATCAATACAAGTCAAAGGGATTTCATATTAGCAATGATTCTCATGTTTTGGTCACTTAAGCATCTTATCAAACACTTGGTGAAAATAAAGCTTCATAGTCCTTATTAATGGTGTCTCTACACCCAATGACCCATTCTCTTGTTCCAAGATAAATTCTAAAGCATCAAATTGCTATGTTCAATACCATTCTTTATCACCCATAAGATAAACGATATCTTTAATCAATAATCAACAATCAACAATCCAATCCTATAATTTTTCATGCTTCTCTATTAAACCCATCAACTCGTATCTCATGAACTAGGGTTTATAATCATTAAACCAATGTTAGAATTAATTAGATGGTGAAGATATTACCTTTTTGACGTTCAATCTTCTTGAATTCGAGTTCTAGGGTTTCTTCTCTCAATAATGGTGTCCCAATCGAATATCTAATGATATGGAGGGTTTACCCATGTTAATAAGATGTTGGAAAATTGAAATTAACTTAAAATGACCATTAGAACTTACCTTGGGTGGTGGAAGGACCTTAAGGAGTTAGGTTTTTGAGAGTTCCCCTTTCTAGAGCAATTTTTTATGTTTTGGGGCTGTGGGGGACGAAATATAGCTTTAAAACGACCCCCCACGCGCGAGTTCGCGCGCCTGGTGGCTTGTTCGCGCGAAAGTTCGCGCTTAACGGCAGTAACACTGCCTCCCACGCGCGAGTTCGCGCGCCTGGAGGCTTGTTCGCGCATACGCGTACTGTTCCGAAAAACGCACATAACTTTTTGCGCAGAGATCCGTTCGAGCTCCATAATATATCGTTGGAAAGCTATTTCAATGGCCTACAACTTTCATGCTTTAAGTTTTCTCAAATTCGTTAAACATTTTCACTAAACACTGATGGAATACAGACTTTCTGCAAACTTCGTCGATTTTGTCAAATCTTATGCACCTCACTTTCCATCTTGATTTTGAAACAACTATTTTCACCCACAATCATCCCGCTAGGACTTCACATGTCTAAAGTATCAAATTAATACCCATTTAACATATCCATACCTAGTCCGAATGTACGGGGTGTTACAGCAACTTCCATTTCAGGAAGCCCAGAACCAAATTCGCTTTACGGCAATACTCCCTCCGATTCAAAATAAGTAATTTTTTGGATGTTTTGACACATATTAAGAAACTCATCTTTTAACATTAATTAACAATAAAATTGATCATATTAACTTTTGATCTTCACATAAATACTCCTAACACATACTTCAACATTATTTACTCTAAGGGCAATGTAGGGAAAAAATGATTAATTCAGTATTGAAATCTAAAAAATCACTTATTTTGAACCACAAAAAGAAAAAGCGAAAAAATCAATTATTATGTACACGTGGGAGTAACTTTTTCTTATAGATTAGCGGTAGATACTTACATAGAAACGATCTTGGAATTATACATAGAAACGATCTTGAAAAGCAGACTGAGTAATATGTTGGAGCATTTGATAATAATTATTTTTTTGGTTGAATAATAAAATCCATGATTACAATGAAATGTGAAAAGAGTTTGTTTCTTGTGTCTTATTTTTGAGGTGGTGCTGGTGGTGGGTGGGGGTGGGTGGGGGGGGGGGTAAAAATACGAAGTCGGCTAGGATTCGTGTACCTTTGTTCTTAATGAAAGGGTGATGACTCAGATATCGGGTGTCTTCAAAATCCACCTTATCCCTTTTCCTATTTAGAATGGAAACCCCTTAAACAATAATAAAAGGTACAAATTCAAACAGCATGAATAACAAACAAATCATATATATTATAATAAAGGAAATAATTTCATATCTCACAATTATAGATGTCAGCCTTCACCCCCCCCCCCCCCCCACCTCCCCTTCCTCTGGGACACCCCACCCCTCAAAATTAAAGCCTTCATTTTCATCCATACATCCAAAACTACAAAGGTTTTATGTTTATCTATAAATTATTCTGCCTTGATACAAGAGACTTTGTAGGTATATCTATTTCTTTAGGAGTGGCTTGGTAGAAATATTATCAAAAGACCCAAGTGATCAAGACTCGCGATTTGGTGATCTTACATTTCATGGGAGGAACAAAGGAAACTTTTGAAGCAGAAATGGGGTTGAAGCAAAACCATGGTGCTAGTCCATGGAATGTTCAATGGGTGATTAATATGGGAACTGCTGGCACAGATAGTTGCGATGATTTCTCAGAATCATTTGAGTCAAGTTTTGAAGACTCAGCAAAATCTTCTTCTATAGAGTCGGTAGAGGATGATGCATCGTCTTCATCATCGTCTTATGGGCCTTTGTATGAGTTGTCTGATCTAATGGCTCAACTTCCAATCAAGTAAGTCTATGTTTTATCTATACTTCTATTATTCTGCTTTACATGAAAATAACTTTCAAGAAACAATCGATATTTGCACAACGTACCGTAATAGGCCGGGGCTGATTTAGCGTACAAGTTGGCTTCAATCGAGTCATGTGTTTTAGCTCAGACAATGTATTTTTATTAAAAAAAAAAAGTATTAAATAAGCGTAAATGATAATTTTCAAACTTAGTAAATAAAATGGGCTCGAGTAGAAGTTCCAACTCGAATTCATAAGGTAATTCAAATTTGAATGCGCCTTTGGATCATTAGAGGCGGACCTAAAGTGTCGAACCAATAGTTTTAGCTCGGACATTTTATATACATCAACAAAATTATTAAATACGTATAAATAATAGATCTCAAACTTGGTAAATAAAATGGGCTCAGAGTAAAATATCGAACTCGAATTCATAAGCTAATTCAAATTTGAATCAGCCCCTGGATCACTAGAGGCTGACCTAGAGTGTTAGAAGTGAGTGCAATTGAATATATATTTTTGTTCATAAATATAGATATGCGAGAAATCTTGAAAAGTAGTATAACAAAATATTGAGTTCTAAAGGTACAGTGAAGAGGCCCAGTTTACTACTAGAATGTATTTTGACTAGATACAAACTAGTCGATCATTTGCTTGAAAAGAGAAAGTACTAGTAGTATGTAATTATATAGATTATTTTATAGTAACTTTTAATTGATTTATTGAAGAAATTCTCCTTTTTGGTTTTAGCAAAAAGGAGGGTGAAGTAATTAATATTTATGAATTCTTTTGTACAGGAGAGGGCTATCAAAGTATTATAAAGGGAAAAGTGAGTCTTTTGGGTGTTTGAGGAGTGTGAAGAGCTTCGAGGATCTTGCGAAGAATGGGAATTCATATAAGAGCTTCAGAGGAGGTTTAGATGGCAAAAGAACATTGTTTGGTCCAAAAGCTACCATTACAAAGAAGTCTTCAAGAAAGTCCAACTTATCTTCACTTACTCATACAAATACTCTTGTAGCTTCTTGTAGATCTCTCATTTCTTTAAAGAAGAATTTGTAACATCAAGATTCTCAGAAAGCTTGCTGCAATTTTTTTTTTTTTTTTTTTAATCTAGCAATCTGTGAAAATGTAAGTGGTTAAAGTCTCTTATAGAAATAGGATATAACCAGAATACAATCTTTTTGAAAAGTGTTTTGTGGATTAAAAAGATTTGCAGGCTTGAAAATCTCTATTTCGCCTCTTCCCCGATTTCAGTCTCAATTTTAAATGATTTGATTTTTCCTTCGTGCAAGCACTCGATTCGCCCATTATTATGTTACATTTTATGATTTTCCGATTCAATTTGCATTTTTTAAACGTCACCCGCATCTGATATAATTTTGGAGAAAGGAACGTAGGGGAAAGGGGGGAAACTTCACTTTATAAGCTGGCCCGGTATTAAAAAATGAAGACATTCTTTCAAATGAGTAAAGCAACTATCTATATTATTAAAAGCCAAAGATTAAAAAAAAAAAAAGACACCACATTAATTCACATGATAGCCTAGAAAAAAGTCACATGACATAGTTAGTTAATTATTAGTTATTTAGATAATAATTAATTATTAAAAATTAATAAAAAAATTAACCACCTAAAATTAACTACTCAAACATGGGTAAAGGTTGGTTTAAGTTAGTTACTTTCTTTGCTTCTTTTCTTTTTAAAGGATTTTCGTTTATCTTTTTTTAAAATAAAAAGTGTATTTATTCATTAAAATTCAGACAATATTATTGAGAAAAATATAATAAAATTTAAAATAAAAAATATTTAAATAGTAATAAAATATAAATTTTCTATTATATTACTGTTTACCTCAAAAATACGAGTAACAATTAAAGTTGATTTATGGTTTTAAAGATACATGATTTAGTTCAATACTAATTAATAACCAAGAATCTGAAATATAAATGAAAGAAATAAGTAATATCAAACCAGTAAGTAAGTCGGTCTCGACCTCAAGCTAAGATGACCTCGAGGTGAAGCAAGAACAATTAAGTAAGAACAATAAAGTTAGAGAGCCTGATGAGCAATGAGCGAGAAAGTAAGAGAGTATATTCTTTGTCAATGATTGATGATCTTTACAAATGATTGGGGACCCCTTTATGTAATAGGGGAACCCTAAATAAGGTACATTTCTATTTACAGTAAGAATCTTATTGGGACAGCTGTCTAACCGCCTAGTACGGAATCGTACAAATTTATTCCGGGATTTACGCTGCGATCTTGGAGACGTGGCGGGAATCTAGCTTATTCTATTATAAATCCATAACGACATTATCTCGAGGCTGGTCATATTAGGCTCCGACATTCCTCGATCACTTAGTTCTTCGAGCTTAGTACTCTGTCGTCGAGCTCGAGCCTGGTCCATCGAGCTCGAACCCAATCCATCCTAAACTCGGGCTTAAGGTGACACCTCGAGCCCGGGAAATTGGGCATACCTGATTTCGACCGTATACAGATAGTCCTCGCGTTTCTCAGAGTAAGATGATAAGAGACGATTTGATCTTCGATGCTCCAACGCCTCGATCATGATGTCAGTCTCGTGATATCAGTGGCTGAAGTGATTGAAAAGTCGCTTCCGCATAGTTCCCAAGGTCATTAATTGGAGGCGGTTGATGGTCGGCTATTTGGCTTCCCCAAACCATTTAAGTGGCCTCTATAAATAGGCCAATTTCACAATTTGCAAACTTTTCTTCTCAATTCATCCTTAAAACCTTTCTAACTCTCTCAACTTCTCTGAGTTTACCCTTTTTTTCAGTTTGCTCCTACTGCAGCATCAACTCCTTCTCTTCTCTTGAATTTCTATACCGCAATGGCTAAAACATCTAAAACTGTTCCTCAAAAAGAAAAAACTTCCTCATCATCGCGGCCGGCCAGGGGTATAACGGTAGTGCCACCTCGTATCGAGGAGTGCATTCCCGGACCATGTGAGCTAACTTCCGATTTTAAATCGATAAACCTACTTCGACACCAGGCCGTTCCGATCCCATGTCTCGATACATCTGTTTGATCAATGAAGATGAACTTGAGTAGGTGAAAAAGGATTGCAATTCGGAAAATAAGGACGTTGTGATCCCTTCCCCCGAAGAGGACATCACCACCCATAAGGTAGGTTACTTAAGCATGTATTCCTACCCTTTCACATTGGGTCCCGTAGATCCAGCTCTAGGTTTCATAGACCCAGTGATTATTGATTTTTGTTAACAATACCGGGTGACGCTTGGCCAGATCTACCCTTCTTTCTGGTGCATCGTTAATCTGATCAGATATTTCTCGGGCTTGGTCGAGGGGATGCCTTTTATCCTCGACCACCTGATCAGGCTATACAGCCCTCGCCTTTATCGAGGGGGTCTGATAAAGCTTCGGTGCCGATCCTTGAAATCCCTTTTATCCAGCATCGATGAGGACAAGGATAGAGGATGGATGAGCCGGTTTGTCCGAGTCAGGACCTCCGATCTGATTCCTGCTGAGAGGATCCCCTTCCCCGAGGAGTGGAACATGAAACGTAAGTACAAATTTACCGATGGTGATTAATACCCTACTTTCCCTACTTTTTCTCGATCTAATTCTTTTTTGATGATGCAGCTATTTCTTGGTTTCCTGGTGCGGTCCCGGACCTCGAAGGCTGGGTCCGGCAACTGGCCTCTACTTCTTCATACGCGGAACAAAGCTGGCGTGACTTGGCCAAGGGTCGATGGGAAGCTAAAAACCATGGTGAATTCTCTCATTTACATACTGATGTTTCTTAATGGAATACTTACTTTATCATTACACAGGCCTCAGAGACGCCGTTGCTATGCGGCCGCCCCCGCTCGATGAAGAAGAAATCCCAAAATCGACCAAGGAGAAGAAGAGGAAGAGGGGGTCATCTGCAAGTTCCCTGAAGCCAAAGAGAAGCAGAGCTCGAAAGCCTAGGGCCGATCATGTGGCCCTATCTTCGAAAATAGCCCAACACCTTCAGGACGAAGAGGAGGAGGGAGAAGATGACGACTGCCTGTTGGTAGCTCAAAAAAAATGAAGCATTGATGCTCCAAAAGCCGATGAGCCGAAGGTGGCTGATGTGGTTCAATCTCGAACCGAAGAAATTTTAGAGGGGAGCTCGAGCAGAGTCCCTGAGCCATCAGGTGGTAAAAAAACGTCTCGTCCCAGGGAACATTTGGTGGGCGAGCCCGAAGACTCAAATTCCGAGGCCCTCCAAAGAGAGGATAATATCCCAAGTGAATCACTTGGGATAATTAATGTAGATGACTTGCCGCCGGACCCTGTGTTCTCCGAAGGGAAATTCCGAGATGCCCAGGCCACGAGGATTCCTAATATGGGAACAACACATGATGGGAGTGATATTTTTCGGGATTGCCTTGCGGGGGTTGAAGATGGCCCTGATCCCGACGCCTCATTTATGTTCGATGAGGTCCAGAGGCTTCTCAAACAAGTAAGCTTTTGTCTTCATAATTATGCTCGAGTTTTATTCTCTTTTTTCTAAGTCTAACTCCTTTTCTTTGTGCGAAGGTCGTGGCACTTCATCGCAAAGAATTTTCTAACTCTCGAGCTGAGCTTGCCTGGTGTGAAGCCAAACTCAAGAAGCTGATGGAAGAGAAGGACACTCCTAAGCGCCTCTACGTACAGAAAGAAGAGGAGGTCAGGGATCTCCGAGTCGAGTTGGCGAAGGCTCACCAAGAACAAACCGAGCTTATTGAAAAGGAAATATGTCCTTTGAGGGTCTGTTATGAATTTATTTGATTTAGCGACTAATAATTCAACTTTGCAGGCCCAGCAGAAGGGCGAACTGGTGGAAAAGCTCCGAGAAGAGCTCAAGCTGAAGGAGGTCGAGACCCTAAGGTGGAAGCAACACATGGACCGCCTTGCTTTAGAGAAAGATACACTTTGGGAACAAATGACTTCAATCAAACGCCAGCTTCAAATTGCAAATGAGGAAAGCTTGGCCGGTAGTCGCAAAATCGAGGAGCTCGAAGCTAAATCAGCCGCTGAGCTTGCAAAGGCCAAATATGAGGTAGAGGCAATTGTGTCCTCGTATCGGGCTGACGCCGAAGCTGCTAACACTTAGACACTGGAGATCTCCATTGCGGCTGAAGTTAAGTTATCATGTGCTCTTGATCATGCCATGCGGCAGTCCCGGAGAGAAACTCTTGAGGAGGTGCACGCTCGTGGCTTTGACCTCTCAGCTGATATTGAAAGAGCAAAAACTTTGGAGGAAGAGGCTACCGTTTTGCTCTCCGATAACGAGGATTCCGCTAGTGGCTCCGAGAGCGGAGGAGATCAAGATGAAGTTCCCGAGGAGGAGGTTCCCGAAGACGCGGCTCCTGAGGATGCAGCTCCCGAGGATGTGGCTCTCGAGGGTATGGCCCCGTAGTAGATTAGGTTCCTTTGCTTGGTTTTTGTGTAAGGCCCTTTGTGGGAATTGTAAATACCCTTTTATAAATATAAAGAATTTCCTTTGCTCCATCTCCAATTTGTATTGAATTCTACTTTGTCTTTATTTTGTGGAAAATTCTTATAACTTCAATGATCAACCGAACATCGGCTCGGATTCTGAATAGAACAAACCCTTGGTTTTTTTTAATAATCAATGGGCGATATTCGATCTTATAACAGAATACCTCTTAAAGTTTTGTTAATCCTCGAGCTAAGCTTAAGCCGATTTGGTGCGAGCTCGGGATGATGGAACTCTTGATTCCGAGTTAAATGAGAGCGAGGTATCGAACTCTACATGCTTCGGCCCTTAGGCTCTTTTATGTTGGCCCTTAGGCTCTTTTAGGTCGGCCCTTAGGCTCTTTAAGTTGGGCCAATTTGGCCTCTAGGATGGCTATTATTATTCCCTCTTTTCGGCTAAAAGACTTAGTGAAAATTTCTTTATGCCTTAGCATGTGTTTTTGTACCCGTTGGGTTTTTCAAAGGTTCGACCGATCGGAACCTCATTAGTAATCTGTTGGTGTAATGATAATCAAATACCTCTTGAGGCTTTTTCGAAGGCTGATGTTATCGAAGCCTTTAAATTATTCGGGGGCTGATTTTATCGAAGCCTTTATTATTTGCTTTTGCCGAGGGTTGCCTGATTTAACCGGTTTTTCAAGGTGTTTGAAGGCCTTTAATTTATAGCGGAAGTCCGACGTCTTCGAGACGCACTATTTCGGCCGTAGCCTTTTTATATGACCGTAGTATTTAATATGGTCGTAGCCTTC